TGGGGGAGGAAAAAATAGGAACCCTTCAGAGATAAAAGTCTAATGAAATACTTTATGAATTATGCATGTCAATACAGATACATGTTTCTCGTGTCTATATACTATTTCATGCTTAATCACCTTTCCACATATCAATATTGATTTTAAGCATCAAATTATTTAAATCACATGCAAATTAACAAGTTCATATACGATCATAAAACATGCATTGTCAAGTAAAATTTACTTAGTTTAGATACTCAAACTTAATCATGCAAATCATAAATTCAAATTTCATAATTTTTCTCTAGAAATGCTCATTAGGATGTTTAAAAGTAAATACTAAATTCCTTATCAAAACTTTGAAGTTTCTTACACCTTTTCTTCTTCTTCTCCTCTCCCTCTCTCTCTAGATCACTCCCTCTCTCTATGAGCTCTTGGAGGATGGAAGAATGGAATGGAAGTGATGAGGAAATGGTAAAGGGAGGGTCCTTATTTATAGAGGAAACCGTTAGATTTGTGCCAAGTGGCAAAATCTAGTGAAGAGAGAGAAAGTTAATTAAAAAGAAGTGACGTGACGACTGACGGAGGTGACTGACAGATAGACGATGTGATGTGATGACAACGCAAAAAATAAAGGCACATTACCCAAATGACGATGGCACGTTATCCAAGCGACGACGACACACCGTCTAAACCAGCAAAGGCTTGCCGCCCAACCAACGGTGCACGCCACCCAAGGGAGTGCGTGGCGCCCAAGGGGATGATGCGCACTGCCCGAGGCAGTAACACATTGCCTGAGTCGACCGTGCACAGGTCCTACAATGCGTAGGGTGCTACGCGTAGGCCCATGCATGCTGGCCTATTGTGCGCACAGGGTGCACGGAGTCGTGCCCATTTGCACGCAATGGGACATGCGTGGACTGTGTCAGTCTGTGGGAGATAGGACGCGCACACAGACTGGGCATCATTCCCTAGGGGGACGGGATGTGTCTTGTGTTGGCCGCGCACGGTGCCTGCGTAGGTGGAACCCTTCCCGCGAGCATTTTTTTGCTAGATTTTTGCCTTTTCTCCATCTTTTTTCTGGAAATTTATTTTTAAATAATAAGAACAAAAATATAATTTTTTTCTACGACGAAAAGGAATGATAAATTTTAAAAATTATTTAAATAAATTAAATATACGAAATTTAAAATATGAAATATGATATTTATCTAAAAATTAAAATCACGAAATATTTAAAGAGTTTAATCGGCTTAGGGCCCGAATAAATAAGTATGCTCTATAACTAATCAAGTTTCTTTATACAACATTCATGCAAAATTTCAGGATGCAAAACTAGGAATTTAAATATGAAGCAAACGGTTTTCACTCACTTTTGTAAAGTAGTCTTCCTTTGTTTTATGCAATAGAATGGAACAAAGGTTTTCAAACACATATGGTAGGTGAGGTACTCTTCCTTTGTTCTAGTTTAATCCAAAACAAAATACCAAATTGCTTATGATGTGCAATCAATATATTTTTGAATTTTTTAATTTTCTTGACTAATTGAACAAACAAACGATCACTTGAATTGGATGGATATGATGAATTCAAGTGAGACGCAACATGAACAAATGAGCAAAAATTATTATTGCTAATTATGCAATCACATGATATTAAAGCAATTTAAGATAGTAGGTTCATTAGGAGCCTAAGCTTTGATACTAAATGATGCAAGGTGGGGTGGGGGGATTTGGAAGGATCATTTTGACCCCTAGAACCTCACAAAACGTTATAATCAGAAAGCTTAATCACCTAATTAACTCTCCCTACTTGAATCACAACCAACAAATTGATTACAAACCAAAGTAATTGAAAAAATAAAAAGGAATTGAAAAGATGCCACTGCTTAGTGACGTGGCAAAAAATGAGGATGAATCGTTTTGACTCCCAAAACCTCACTCAACATGACATCAGAAAACTTACCCACCTATTTTATCCCCTACTTGAACTACACCCAATAATATGAATGCAAATTTAAGATAATTGGGAAAATAAAAGAATCAAGAAGGATGTCATAACTTAACTGATAAGACAATCTTGATTCTTTAACTCTACAAGATTTCTGAAACTTCTCAATTTAAAGAATTTTAAAGAACACTCTCAAAAATTAGCCAAAGCTAATTTAAAAATAAAGCAAAAGCTTTAAAATTTTATTGACATGAAGATGTGATTACAATCTAAGGATTGAAGATCTAAAAAAAAGCCAGGTTAATTGACCGTCAGATTAATGATTAATATAAACTGACGGTTGTGATTGAGTGCAACGACTACAGTGACCGCAGCTGGTAATTTATACGGACGGGTTGCCTAGATGTCATTGCAACTTCTTATTATGCCACGTGGTGGTTAGTCAACATCGGCGATTAATCGACATGCCGCGGCAGTGACGTTGACTGCAATGTGACCCCGTTGCGTCTCTCAGTTTTGTCAAACTGTGGAAACAAAACTGAAGCGACTAACCGAAAATCTTCTTCTTGTTAATCCCGTCTCACTTTCAATTTCAATTTCAATTGCAAGACTATCAAACCTGTGCTGTAAAACTCCTCTATCTCTCTCTCTCTCTCTGTACCTTTTTCTTCCCCCATTTCTTTGTTGAGGAGCTACCAGATATGGCAGCAATGTCGGCGAGTCCAGAGAGGATCGACGTATCACCGCCTGTGATGATGGGCTCGTCTCCTTCGAAATTGACATCTTCTGACGTTGCACCTGAGTTCTCATCGTCCTCAGATAGTATCTCATATTCCGCCGACACGCCTGATCGTGACGATCCTTCCAATTCTTCTCCAAACCCTAACAGAGACGCGGAGACTCAGGTTTCGTGAACGTTTATTCAATTTGTTCTTGTTCCAATTCTTGAATTTTTATTTTTGTGTTTCCGGTTTCTCTTTTAGCTAAGGTTATACAATAGGTTCGGCTTTCTATTAGTTACTGCTCTGTTCGGTCGCAGAGAAAATAGAAACAAGAATTTGGATTTGAATTGGCTTATACTGAGGGAAAAGAAAAAGAAAAATTCAGAATTATTGAAGCCTGAGAATTTAATCTCTCTTGAACTCCTGAGATTATGCTCAGTTTAGCTTGAAAGAGTTTGGTTGTTGACATTTTAGTTATAGTATGAAAATGTGGATTGTCTCAATTAGTGTCATGTCGTGATCGCCTGACTTTTAACTCATGGTTTTACTAAAAATCAAGAAGACCTTTTTGTTTCCTTTACTGATCGTGTTATTCAGTAATTAGAGATTTTAGCTCAACTGCAAAGGAGATAGAGGGCATGGAGAAAGGGAATTCTCTATTATCTATTCCCTTCTTTAAATATGATAAACATAATTAGTTTGTTGTGCAGAAACCAGGATATTTTTAAGTAATCTTATGATATTAGATTGTGCGGGTTCTTGTGCTTTTTGCATCGCAGTCATTACATCATTGAGAAGCGAGGAGTATCGTCAATTGTTTCGACTTCCACCTGAAGAAGTGAGTGCCTCCGTGCTTCTTATAATCAATATATCAAGTCATAGTATGTCTTGTTCCTTCTATTTGGATGGAAGCTGATAGTCCCTTTGGCTTCTAAAGACATGCATTGTTTCTAATGATTGATTTGTGACTTTGGATAATTTCTTTGGATTTTTTTGATAATATGGTAATCTGCGAATGAAGTATAATATCATCAATAGGGAAGTGGAGCTGTGATAAATTTATGTACATTATTTAGAATTGAGTCTATTGGCCATCAAAATTCTCATTTCTATTGAATAATTTCTTGTAAATGAGTCATGAAAAGAAGTTCATGTTATTGATCGTGGGGAGATCAGAATGGAAAACTGGGCTTCACCCAGGAATACTGTCATTTTGTGTCTCATATGTTGAACAGTGGGCAGGGTTAAGTAAGTTTGAGTTTCCATTTTATCTCGGGCCATCTCACTTATAATCAGGTATTAATTGTAGGAACAATCAAGATTTTGAAGGAATCTATCTTGATATCTGAAGACAAAATTTTTTTCTTTTGTTCTTCATTTATATAGGTCCTTGTTCAAGATTTCAATTGTGCATTCCAGGAGAGTATTCTCTTTCAGGTAATCTGCACCATTTTGATTTTTTTCCCAGGTAGTTTACTTCAGCATGCTTTAATTGGTACTGAAGGTTATGGTGTTAAGGCTTACAGTTCTCTTTTTCATCTTACGCATTAACTTTTACAGGGACATATGTACCTCTTTCTTCATCATATTTGCTTTTATTCAAACATTTTTGGATTTGAGACAAAGGTAGTATTCAAAAATTTGGTTATATCTCTAGTTGCTTTGAAATATTCTCAATGCTTTTGATTTGTTCTCAATATTTATCAGAATTTGTGCTACAGAAAATAATCCCATTCCATGAGGTTACAAGTGTTAAAAGAGCAAAGACAGCTGGGATCTTTCCAAATGCCATAGAAATTTTTGCTGGAGGGAAAAAGGTAAATGCCAAATCTGTTTACCATTTTTCCCCTATATCATTTCCTGGAGCAGTTACTTTATAAAACTTATGACCTGAATGTTTTTTTGTCCTCACCATTCAGTTTCAGTAACAGCTCCAATGTCTAAATCCATTTATTGATTTGGCAGTACTTCTTTGCATCATTTCTGTCACGTGATGAAGCTTTTAAGATAATCAATGATGGATGGTTGCAGCATGGTAATGGTTCCCAAGCTATCAGTGAACAACAGGTGTCTTCAGTAACTTAGTGGTTATAAGCTGAATTTTGTTAAAAATGGAGTTATTGATATATTGCATCTTTTGTTTTTTCTTTTTAATTTCTCATAAGCTGATTTTCCAGGAATCCTTATCTGAGCCCAGCAGCCAAGAGAATGGACTTGTAATTGAAAAGGTCAATACCTCTAAGCACATGATCAATGAACTGAGTTCTACTGGCAGGTATTGTTAAGAGCGGAATATATGTACCCTGTGTTGGTTTTGGTTACTGCCTTAGGAAATTCAGTCTGGATTCACATACTTGTGACACAGGGACAAGGATGCTTCTACGTCGAATGATGCTAAGCTCCTAGACAGCATTGCAAATGATGCACTGACATCACTTCCAAAGGTGGAAGACAATATAGAACAGGATACAGTACCAGTTGTAAGTACTGATACTTCATCTTCAGCCAATTGGACTTGGAAGCCAGAGGATTCTGATGCACCTAAGAGTTAGTTAGTTCTCCTCTATTGTTTTGCTATTGCCGTTATAACTTTGTGATTTTATCTGAGTTTACTTAGATAGCTCAAACATTGTTCTACTTACCCTCAATATGTGGTTTTTGTTTCAACATTTCATTAACCATAGAATTGGTTAATACAAAGTGTGGACCAAGAACTTGACCTTGTGGCATTGCTCTATGTCGAATTTCCTTTGTATTGAGCTTCTAAAGTGTTGTTTCTTCAGTTACGTTGTGGATGCATTTTAACCTGGTTCTTTGGTGTATTGATGTGTAAAAAAATACTGACAACTGATAAATTTGGGCAGACTTCTGTGGATAGGTGGTATTATGAACCTAATGAGTTTGTGGATGACTTCATTAATCGATTAGTTTTCAAATCCAATGTGATTTCCACTCATTCCTTTTCTTAGACCTTGCATCTGAGAAAGGATATCTTGTTGACATTTGATGATTTTGAATAATTTGTAAGGTACTGTAGAAGAAATGGAAGGTGTTGAGATTGGTATTTAATGTTGGAAACAATATGGCAGCTTTTTTTTTTAAACTATGACTCTATATTGAAATTTATGTGTGGAACGTTTACTTAATTTATTTAGTTAATATAAATGTCGGATTTCATTGATGCATCAGCTTTTTTCTGTCTTCTAGGAGAAGTTAAATCATGTGCTAGGTCTCCTTGGTTGCATCTCGTTAAGGGGTTGCCTGGAAAGAACATACAGGCTCATTAAGAGAAGCAATTTGATATCTAAATGGTAGTTGCTCATTAAGATTGAACACTTAGATCCCTTGAGCAAAAAGATACTCTAAAACTTTTACTGAATCCGTTGAGTAAAAAGATACTCTAAAACTTTTACTGAATTTTCTGCCTACCATTTATGTAGGTTGCAAAAATGACAGAAATAGGCTGCCTCCTAGAAAATATCAACAATTGACATAACTGAACATTTAAAATCTAAACTAAAATAGTTCTCTCTCAAAAAACAAACCCTAAAATAAAATAGACTAGAGAAAAAGCAATCAGATTAAAACAAAGAAACATAATAGCCTAACTGCAGTTGTTTTGTAATTGTTGACTCCAATTGCAAAGTTGTTCTTGTTGCAGCATCTGCACTAATTTGAGTCTTATATTGGACCATAACATTGTATCCCCCCTTAAGGACATCCTTGTCTGCAAGCTTGTAATTTGGTTGGTGTTCTTTGCTGCTTAGTTTGGTATGAGTGAGTGCTGATAACTGCATGTGGTATCTCCTGATCAATAACTTTCTCCCCAGATGGGAGTTCTTCTGGCATAGGGGTCCGAATCATACTGATCCAAAACAGAGAGATACTAAAGATGGACATATTCTAGTTTTAATATATATTTATATAATTGTAATGTTTATGTATTTGTTAAGGTGTTTAACGTATTTAGGAACTAGCATCTATAAACTTATTAAAGGTATGGGCATTATTTCTTATTTAGTTAGGATACTTTGGAAATATTAATTATTCAATTAATTAACTTGTTTTCTTATTTTAATAGAATTCCTAGATAGATTTAAAATTTCTATCTTGATCATATTTTTGTGCCTATAAGTAGCGTATTCTTGGTTAGTTATTAGATAGATTATTCATATTGGTTACTATAGGAACAGTGAACTACTGATTTGATTATTAATATCTTAGATATCTAATTCTTGGTGGTTCTATAAAAATTAATCTTCGTAGAAATGTTATAGCCAAGCTCTTTTTGTTATATATCAACTAGTATTAGAGCCTAACCTTGATTTATCACACTACCATAATTTTTGTCCAAAAATTTAGAATCTGCTGCCAGAATGGCACCTCAGAACCTTGAAGCAGAACTTAGGCAAAACAGTATTTTCGTTTCAGCACACAGACGTTAGTTCAAGATAGAGATTGTCAGCCACAAGCACTTGCTGGTTGCTGCTGAGAGGTGGGCAACCAATTCTAGGGGATACCAAATGGCATACCCACTGAGTCTCTCCCCTAAAAGTTTTTGGAAACCACCGCAAATTGCTGTTTGAAGTTGGTCTTGCTGTTGTCTTGCTGGATTCTACCATTCTGGATAACTTCAACGAGTACTGACATCAGATCCAAATCAAGGGCTCTAGAGGACTCCCTGACTGAAAGATCAACTACAAAGTACCTCCAAAATTGACGTGTGAGTCCCATGTGTTGACCATTATGTATTGATCTTAATTGAAGTTTCTGTTGACTGTTCAAATCGGTTTAATTTGTCCAGTTCAGCCACCACAATACCAGCTCTGGTCATTTGAAATACAGTAGTTGAAGGTTAGAGCATTTTCTTTCACTTTGGGAGGTTAGTTTGCTTGAGTTCATGTTCTAGGCAGATTGATAATTTTATTCATGCATTCTGCCAATGATTTAAGATGTATGTTAGGTTTTCCAATTACATTTATGGGAGAGAGATGAATGTAATGCTAACAGTTTTATGAAATAAAGCAAACAAAAAGGGCATGAATGGTAAGTTATATGCTCATTGACCCTCC